TTAAAATTTATGTGTCTGTGTGTATACATGCCAAGGAAATGAGGGTATCTACAGAGGCTAAAGGGAGCTTCAGATGTCCTGGAGCTAGAGTTACAAGCAGTTGTGAACAACCCAGTATGGATGCTGGGTCCTCTGGAAGAAGATCAAATGTTCTTAACTTCTAAGCCATCTCTCCAGCCGTATAATTTGTTTTAAATCACTGTATTTTGGGTGATTTATTATGCATCAATATTAACTGCAATATACTTAAAGTGTAAGAATTTACGCTTCAAGAAAAAGAGAGCTATGAGGGTATATCCAGTCTAAACATGCAGCTTAAATGAGTACAATATTAATCTTAACTTGGTAGAGAAACCAAGGTAGAGGAGGAAGGAAGCAACAGACTGATGAGACACAAACAAATGGGTGGAGAGACAGCCTAGAGCTAAAAGCACTCACTGCTCTGGACCTGGGTTTGGTTCCCAGCATCTATGGTGGCTCACAACCACCCATAACTCTAGTTTCAGGGTATCTGACATCTTTTTCTGACCTTCTTGGGCACTGGGCATGCACATGGTGTAGCTCTGGCTGTTCTGGAACTCACTCCATAGACCAGACTTGAACTCACAGAGATCTGCCTGCCTCTGCCTTCTGAATGTTGGAATTAAAGTAACAACTGTCTGGCTTAAATTTATTTTTGTTTTGTTTTGAGACAGGATTTCTCTGTGTAGCCCTATGAAGTGATTTCTCGATTTCTTCATCTCTCTCTCTCTCTCTCTCTCTCTCTCTCTCACACACACACACACACACACACACACCCCGCCCACCTCCATACTTTTCTACAAAGTAAGGCAGAGGTGGTTATCCTTAGAGTGTCAAAAGACCTACTTTAATATACAATCTGATTTTTATTTATTTTTGAGTCTGTGTATTTATGTATGCATGTATGCATGCTGGGGAGAGACTGAGGTTGGGTGTTCCCTGACTTCATTTCCACCTTAATTTTTGAGATCGGGTCTCTCATTGAACCTGGAGCTCATGATCTTGCTAGCCTGGCTGGCCAACATACTCCAGGGATCCTCCTGTCTCTGTCTCTCAGAGCTATGGTTATAGCCACCTGTCAACATGCAAAGTTTTTTGCATGAGTGCTGGAGATCTGAATTCAGGTTCTTATGCTTGCTTGGTAAACACTTTAATGACTGAGCCACCTTCCCAGTCCCTACGACCTTTAGAACTGAAGTTCTTTAACTCAATCCCCTATATTCATCATTGATAAAAACAAAACAACCCAACAACAACAACAACAAAACCCCTGGAGTAAGATGATACAGGTCTTGAGCACAATACCTGCCACTGTATCAATATTGCCCTACCAGAGCTTTGCGTTGAGTTTACATGCAAAACACGCACCCCAAACTACAGAAGGGTGGAAGTGCAGATGAACAGCAGCTACAGGGCACAGTGAAAAAGCCGTTGTCCCACTTCTTATGGAAAAGAAGGCAATTCATAGATTCTCAAGCACAGGTCTACTCTGAGATCCCAGGAGACCAAGGTAGAGGAAAAGTGAGACAGAACTCAAAAGGATGAATGGTGCTACCAAAGTCATCCTTTCAAAATAGGAGACTCCACCTAAGGGGCAGTCTGAAGACAGTGGGGCACACAGGGCAATCAAGTGGATTAAGAGTAGGTGGAAGATTTATAATTTTTTTCCTTCTTTTTTTTTTTTAACTAAACATGAAACTTGGCTTTAGACTGGGAAACTCTAAGAGCTCAACTATACTGCTAGGAAAACTTAAGTGACAAAGGCCTTAACTTCTGTTGGTCACTCACGAGAATTCTCTCGGAGAGAACAAGCCTTTGCTTTACTTTCATTTATTATACTCCCATGGAAGACAAGGCACCTCAAATGCCAAGAAGCAGATGTGTACAGAACTCTGGCATGCTTTAGATTTTTCACCCTGTACAAACACTAATTCGTAAGGAACCATGGCCTTAATAGAAGACCCCAAATCTCAGACTGGCAAAATATCTAAGTGGGCAAAGGCACCTGTCACCAAGCCTGATGACCTGGACTTGATCTAGTGACTCACATGGTAGCAGAAAAACCGACACCTGAAAACTGTCCTTTTATCATTACATGTATGCAGTGTAACATTCAACCCCAACAAATTAAATAAACCTATCAACAAAACAATTCAACAAGCCACTTCCCTCCTTCCCTCCCCCCCTCACTCCCTCTTAATCAATATCCTTGTTGGGTAAAGATATAGAGATATAGAGGTTCAGTATTCTTGTCTGCTGAGGAGAACAGCTTCCTCCTCAGCATGCTCTTGATGTCATAATGTTCTGCTTACTCAGGGCCCAGAACCAATAAAGTCATGAACAGCAGACTGAAATCTCTGAACTTGTGAGCCCTTAACAAATCATTACATAAATTACTGCGTAATTTAGAACACACTTCGTTTTTTGTTTTTTTCATTTGCACATCATGTCTCTTGAGTCAAGAATACATTAATGATAGTTAAACTGCATTTGAAAAACAATTTTTAAAACCAGCAAATATTTGAGTACATATTTCTTTATATAAAAACACAAAGTGATTTATATACAAGTATCAACAAAACATAAAAGGCCACTCAACTAGTAGTCTCTGTGGAAATGAAACACTAAAGCTACTACTACTAAGATGTCTACAACCCGCCCCCCCCCAAAAAAAACAAAAACAAAAAACCAAGTGGTAAGCCGGGCATTGGTGGTGCACGCCTTTAATCCCAGCACTCGGGAGGCAGAGGCAGGCAGATTTCTGTGAGTTCGAGGCCAGTCTGGTCTCCAGATAGGCTCCAAAGCCACACAGAGAAACCCTGTCTTGAAACCCCGCTCCCCCCGCCCGCCCCCCCCCAAACCAAGTGGTAACTGATGGAACAATCTAGAACCTCATATTGGGTCCAGGAATGAAAAGTGATATAGTTTTTTTTTTTTTTAAATTAATAGGTGGTTGTCAAAAAGTTAAGTATCCTTTTACCATTAGAATACATCTTTTTCATACCATATCATAGCCGAAGTTTAAAAGTCAGGTTATCAGTGGGGAGAGTGGGAGGAGAGGAGGGCGGGGAAACTGGGATTGGAATGTAACAAAAAAAAAAAAAAAAAAAAAAAAAAAAAATTTTGGGGGGCGGTGGCCCCCCCGTATCTGAGGGCTGTGACACACCTCTGTGGTAGAGCATGTGCTTAGCATACACAACACCCTACATTCAACCCCCAAATGCCAATAAATAAATACATAAGAATATAAATAAATCAGAGCCGGGCATTGGTGGCACACCTTTAATCCCAGCACTCAGGAGGCAGAGGCACGCAGATCTCTGTGAGTTCCAGGACAGCCTGCACTGTTACAGAGAAACCCTGTCTTGAAAAACAAACCAACCAAACAAATAGATCAGATTTAAAAAAAGTCAGATTATCAACAAAAGGACCAAGAGTTTAGCTACTGACATACTGGGCCAGAGACATGGCTCAGAGGGGAAAGTTCTAGACACATGAGCCTGGCAACCTGAGTTCCATCTCTAGAACTTACATAAAGGGGAAGGGGAGAAACAATGCCACCAAATTGTCCTCTGATCTCTTAGGTACACAATATACATGTCACACATATACATAACAACAAAATGATTTTAAAAATCCCTTCAATGAAGGAAGAAGTCTACCATTTTATTTGGCTGGGAGTCATGATGAATGAAATCCACAAGTCCTCCACATTTGCTTGCTTTTACAATTTGGAATACTTCTCATCTTTTGTATGCATCAGAATTATTCCAGAAACATGAAAAAGCACATGTGCTTGGACGCTACCCCACTGAATCACAATCTACCCTGGATCTCTCTATTTACAATGTAAAGATTTTTATTTTCATTAAATGTATGGGTGAATATCTGTGTGGGGGTATGAGCATGTGTGTGCAGCTGCCCATTGAGGCCATTAGAGGGTGCCATAGCCCCTTGAATGGGCTGTTAGCCACCCACGGGGGAGCTCTCAACTGCTATCAGGTTCTTTGCAACAGCGGTGGACTCTTAACTACTGAGCCATCTTTTCAGCAGTCTTTTAGGTAATTATGATGCAAGTCACAGCATATGGCATAAATACTCCTAACCACTGCTTATCTGGATAACTGTCTTCTAATGAACAATTTAAGCGCCATTACTTTCCTCTTCACATATACATTCACATACACACTTTCAAGGGAATTTTAGTAATAACAGTTCATTCACTTTTTGGGAGTTGGTAAGCTGGGATTGGTGGCACAAATTGCAATCCCAATATTCTGGAGAGATCTCAAACCCTGCCTGGATTACAGGATACTATTCTGTTGAAAGGTGAAGAGAGAGTGGGGGAAGGGACAGAAATAAAGAGAGGAAAGTCTAAGGGAGCTTACTGGGAGAACACAGAGGAGCAAAGCTTTGTGAGGTGATGTTATTGGCTGGCATCTTAAATCTGGAAGATCATGTTCATAGCTGAGCCCTTGCTCTGACATTGCACACTGTGATACAATCAAAGGGTAAAAGTATATACACAAAAGTATATCTGTGATGACAGCAAGTTTGTTTTTTATTTTTTTTAAAGTCAGGGCTGGCTTGGAACTCTAGACCAGCCCAACCTCAAACTCACAGAGGGATCCACCCATCTCTGCCACCTGAGTGCTGGGATTAAAAGCCTACACCACCACAACAGGCTCCAGAGTTCATTCTTTTAGTTCTATAACCAAGAACCAGGCATTATCTCTATTGTTCTACTTCTAATTTCTAGTCACAAAATTGGGGATGTCACTCCATTGTAACATTTATGAGCAACATTCCAAGCAAAAGCCTCCCAACTGTCAAGAGCACGAGAACATTTTCTAAAGCTGATTACAAAGACCAATAGCTCTATTATTCATGTTTGCCTCCATCTCCAGACTTCCTTCCTACAAAGAACCGAAGCCTTAAGAGAAGTACTAAAATAATCCCCAGAGATGATAAATATTTACCTGATCCCTGTTGTTGATGTTCGAGTAAGGTAGCTGGCCAGTCATTAGTTCGTACAGAACAATCCCAAATGCATATACATCTGACTGAAAGCTGTATGGGTTTTTATCTTGCATTCTGATTACTTCTGGTGCCTGTTAAGTAAGGAAGAAAAATTCTAGTTTATTCTTAAGTTCAGCTGAATAAAGACTGAAATACACACTATGATAATTCCTAGAGCAACATCATATTTAAAGAAATCATCTAGTATGTCATTTTCCTATGAATGGTCAAAGAAATGAAGGAACCAACTAAGGAAAAGGGGAAAACCTCTGCTTTATAAATTCTGAAAGGTGATTTCAGAACCGAATTTCCTTGAGGTGTTACTAAGATTTTGTAATTTTATCAGCAATCCTCCTTCTGAACAAACACCATTGCTGCCATCTAACCATTTCTCAGGACTATCCTATCAGAGTTGGGCTCCACTTCCTTTTTCTGATTAGCAAAGAAATACTAGCTGTGCACTTACAAAAAGCTTGGGAGTAGGCACAAGCAACTAATGTCCTTCCAAGTTATATCATAAATATGTGGTATAAAAAATGCTGGTGGTGGTGCATGCCTTTAATCCCAGCACTTGGGAGACAGAGGCAGGAGGAGTTGAGTTTGAGGTCAGCCTGTTCTACAGAGAGAGTGCCAGGACAGCCAGGACTGTTACACAGAGAAACTCTATCTCAAGAAACCAAAACAAACCAAACAAATAAACAACCCCCCCCCAAAAAAAAGCTTTACTAACAAGAGTAACACACAACAGGTTGACTTATTAGAAAATTGTACAAATAAATTTTTAGTTGTTGCTTCTAGGGCAAACAAAGACAAAATGGTATTTACCAAATTTTAACATAATGTAAGCATTCTATTGCACAACTCAAGTTTCTTATTATATGAAACACAACCATAGGTGAAGAAACAGCATGTTTCTTCTTTCACTTTGTATCTCTTATACTGTTTTGTTAGAAAGGAATTGAAGAAGTGGTAGATAGTATTAAGGAAACTTTGCAAAACTAGCTGGAGGACAAAGTTCCTGGCCTTGGTAAGGGCAGTATCCCCTGAAGAGTAACAGTACTCAACTATAGCAGCAAGTCACAACTGCCTGTGGAGCCTGCTCAGTGCTGACTACACTCCCCGTGGGACCCATGCTTTACTATGCTTGCACGTGAGTCTGCTGTCCACCACACGTTAAGGAACACTGATGGGAGGACATCTGTGGGAAAACCTGAAGAGAGAGAGTCAAAGTACAAGGCTGCAGGAGAATGTTTCTCTATTTGTTGTTGTCACACACTTTGTTGATAGCTGCTATTTTAGTATGAAACAAACCAGATGTCCTGGAATTAGAGTTTACAGAGAGTTGTGAGTTGCTACGTAGGCGCTGGGAATTAAACCCAAGTCCTCTGAAAGAATAGCCAGAGTTCTTAAGGACTGAACAAGCTCCCCATATTTCTTTTCTGAAGGCAGGTATCAACTGGAAGTTTTATTCAACAATAAAGTGCATCGTTGGCTATTCTTGCTCTCTTAAAATTTAGCATGGCAGAATAAAAGATAAACTCATTGATCCAGGATATCAACAAAAAAATAATCAGAATTAAATAGAAACATCTTATATAATGATATAAACTATGGCTTATGAAAGATAACAAACCTAGAGACTGGACCTAGGACAAACCTCGTGTCAAAAGATATGCATCATTGAAGCATGTGAGTGATCAGTTTTAATTTTTTGCTTGTATAATTTCAGAAGCAAAAATGCTTCTCCCCCTTCTCCTTGGTGCCTTAAGGCCAGCACACAACCACCAAATAGTCTCTTCTAATAAACTGAAACAGTTAAGAATATATCAAAGAATTTAAAAAGAAACTTAGCTAACTGTAACATGGAATCTAAGAAAGGGTCTTGTCATTGACTACTCTGATCTAACATTTCAGATGAAAAGACCCAAGGCCGGTCAGGAAACTTTGAAGCTAATGGACAGAGCACAGTTCTCCTACCTCTTCCACTCTGCCCCTCGTGCTAACTTCACTATTGACCCAAGAAAACAACTCAATGTAACCCTAGGCTTATCTCTACAGACTTAGACCACTATTTGGAGAATCTGCTTCTTCAAGACTGCTATATATTGTTCTGGGAATTCAGGTAAATATGGCTTTGAAAGCCCTCCTGATTTTCCTAAGAAGGTGATCCAAAAGTATTAGGGCAGATTAATCTATTCACAGATTAAATCTATTCAAAGATATTTAGAACCTGTATTCCACTTAGAGCTGATGTTTCAAAATTCTTTGGACTCAGGGTTGTTTTTATTCAAATATTATCAAAGGTCCTACGGAGAGTACCTCTGTGAATATTGACGATATTAACACTCAACTGACTATTATTTACTAATTCACTTAAATATTAAATAGTTACATCTCAGCAGAGAATACCTACTTTTAATGAAAACTGATTATATTTTCAAAATCAAAGTTTAGTGACAACAGAGTTAACAGCAGTTAGCTGGAATCTGTTATGTGTGTCTCATTCAGCCAGCTGTCATGTGTCATTCTGATTGAAGGACAGGAGGAAGACTGGGTTCACAAAGAAAAGAACTTACGGACCTTCTGAAAGGTCACAAGGAACCACTGTGGGCTCACAGCAGTGCTCCTTGAAATGACTCTTCAACAGCCTGCTGCAGTAACTGTTCCCAGCTTTTAGAGCGTCTTCTCTACAAAGCAGAAACAAGGAGACAGACCCATGCAGACAGCACAAGACTGGCTAAAAATATCCCCTTGTCTTTTTCTTTTGTATTTCCACTTCCAACTGCCCCATAATTATAAAGTTCTTTCTAGTGTGAAGAAGGTCTATTTCCAATTTAGGCTCAAATAAAAATGTGAAACAGCCTTTCTGTTAAGAATAGGTCTCTTAAGACATGCTTTAAACTGCAAACAAACAAACAAACAAAAAAACAGGGCATACTGATCATTTGAACATAAAGTTGTTGTTTTCTTTTTTCTTTTTAGACAGGGTCTCACCTAACTCTGGCCAGCCTTGAACTCACAGAGATCCACCTGCCTCTACCTCCTGAGCGCTGGGACTAAAGGTATGCACCACCAAACCCGACAAAGTATTTTAAACAATTTTCAGTAACATTAAACATATATGAATTTTGTTCAAAATATATTGCAACTAGTTTTGCAATACTTTAAGAGAAGAAAAAAGGTTAGATATATAAAAAATAAGAATGTTTTTCTTTTCCTTTTTTTTTTGGGGGGGGAGACAAAGTCTCATAATGTAGCTTGTCTGTCCTGGAACTACGTACACCAGGCTGGCCTCAAACTCAGAGATATCCACCTGCTTCTGCCTGGCTTACTATATTGATTTTTGTGAATAGCATGAACTGTAAAAATACTGTAGTTAAGATCTTCAGTGACTTTCTAGTAACTAGTCACTAGTATAGGGTTAAAGAACATGATCAGTAGAGAAATAGCCTCAATTCTTACCATCCACAAAATAGATCCAGACAACTGTTCAAACTGATGGGACCCACTCCATCGAGATTTCACTGTGGCTAGACCAAAATCACCTATTTTTACCGTGAGGTCTTCATGAAGAAATATATCTGAGGTGTAGTAAGTAAAGGAAAAAAAAATAGATCTCATTTTCCTACCAGAGAAAGTGTTTTGAAGATTCAAGGTAACGGAGCAAGTTTCTACAACCCTGTAGTAAGATTTTCGTTTTAAAATATAGTAATTCATAATTCCCCCTAAAGTCAATAAACATGCTTTAAACAAGAATCAGTTGTCTTTAGTTTTTATGACCTGCTTTTAAGATTCTTGGGCTTGAAATATGTGAGCATAAGGTTAAAGTGCTTTTCTAAGTCTACGGGAGATCTGGAAACTTTCTAATTTGAGTTGGCCCAGATATCCTTTAACACTGCTGGGAAAGTTATGCAGGTTCTTTATTAGAATAAGGATGATATCAGAAAGGATCTGTCTAGACTCGGAGAAAAAAAGAAAAATTGTTTTCCTCATGTCACTGTTACATAATTTTGAACCTTCAGTTTCATATCTCAGTTACTACTCAGAAAGATTAGATGAATTAAAACAGTAGCCACAAAATATCTACTTTACAGGGCACATAAAATGTAAGCAAGCAAGACAAAAAGTCCTACTATAATAAAGACAGTGCCCAGTCATACAGAAATGCCATCAGGTAGAATCCTGCTCTACTTTACTCTCATGCAAATCGATTCATTTTCTTTATTGCATATTACACTTAGCATGAAACTGTTTTTACATAACATGAAGACAAAATGCAGAAGAAAAAGTCGGGATGCTTTCAGACTTCGCAGACCAGTTTCAGGAAGGATACTATTACTCTTGAGGTCTCTGTGGATGATTGACTTGGCGTGTAAGTAACTGAAAAACAAAACATCATTTTAACCTGAGTAAGACTCTGAGTAGGACTCTGGCCTCAAAATCTACAGAACATATTTAGGGGTGTAAAGATACAATTGAAATTGGTATATTGTGATAACCTCTTTACATAATAATTGACTGTAAATTTAGGATTATAGAAATATACCACTATTATATACAGCCCAAATCCTGGTGCATGAGGACTCTGCTTTATCTTTTACTAGTTACAAATACAAACCTTTAACTCAGTCAAGCCTATTTATCTATGTCCCTTGAAATACACTTGATATTTAATCCCACCTCTTTCAATATTTCCCTTCTGTATCTGTCCCCAAATCAGCTTCCATTCTATTTCCCACCTATGCATACTAAGATGAACATTATTATTTTTAACAAAGGATCCAATGGGAAGTGATCTTTCACTGGTCAATTATGTAGTAATTAATGCAATAGCTTGATCTTTGTTTTGCTTTGTTTTTTTTATGTGCCTATGCTTCCTTTCAATTTACAATGCAACTTCCATTAGACTATGAAAGTTTAGTGAAGACAACTAATTTTAAAGGAGGTATGACATATTTGTAAAACATTAATACTAATGAGGAGGAGATTTTCTCGTAATGACCACATTATCTTGTTGTTGTTATTATTGCCTTTCAGAGACCCTTAAGGTCTCACTATGCAGCTCTGGCTATGTAGTCCTGGAACTTACTACATAGATATCTCCAGTGCCTAGAACAGGGCCTGGCAGGTGTGAAGCACTGAATGCATGCCCATCAGTCAACTACAGCACATGCAAAGGACTTCTGAAATCAGAACGTAAATTCAAAGTCATACATGAGCACTATTAAAAATAGAGACTTATAAATAGTTCACACTGTTTGCAACTTATCTTTATTAAATGTCCTTGTTTTCCCAGAAGACATCAATATCTGTAACTAATTTTTTTCTGTAACTATTTTTTGAACAAAAAATTCATTTTAAATTACTTTATCAAAAGTAACCCCTTTTCATCCATTACTCTCTCACTTCTATGCTATTTCCTTCACAACGTTTATTACAATCTAAAATGATCTTGTCATAACTCTGGACTTCTGCTATGTCATCATCACTACTCTTATAGCAAAAGAAAAGAAGAGGTCAATTATGGGTCTCATCTGCTTTAAAAACTTTCAAAAGTTTATTTTCTTATTTATGTGTATGTATGTGTCTCTCTCTGCTAGCCACACCCATGCAGGTGCCTGTGAAGGCCAAAAGAGGGTACTGGATTCCCTAGAACTACAGTTACAGGCAGCATGAGCTGCCCAATGTGGGTTTGGAAACTGAGCCTGGGTCCTCTGGAGAAGCAACAAAGCACTCTTGACTGTGACCTTGCTAACTCTGCTTTGTAACATTTGCAATGCCATAGGAAGATAAGAATAGGTGAAGATAAACTCATCCCAGGAAAGAGCTTTTTTGAGGATTGCAAGATCTTAAATGAGAAAAAAAGGAGGTAGAGTAATGAGAGTGCTGGTACAGAGTGAAATTAAAAAAAAAAAAAAAAAAGGAAGCTAACACAGTCCCCCTTTTGAGGCAGGGTCTTTCTCTTCAGCTCAAGTTGACTTTGAACTTATAGCAATCTTGCCTCCACTTCCCAAGGGCTGGAATTATAGACTCAAGCTACCATGTCTAGCAAAAATATTGGCCTTCTAGTCAGGAAGCTATTGCTGTTGTTTTTCTAAATGGACATGATATGTTCATTAAACTGCTTTCTAAATAATTGCTTATGGCCCAAGAGAAATGTCAATGTTTGCTTTGCTCAGAATGTAGTGATCAGTGGTGACGAACTGTAGACTCATAACTGGTCAAAGTGCTGAGAATGACTGTTGGTGTTCAGCCATAAACAAGACATCTCTATCATCTCTATCAAGGAAGAAAGGGTAAGGAGAATGGGAGGTCTGGAGAACTGGAGCACAGACTGGTGTGGACATTGAACTCAGGGCATGACTATCTGCAAAGCATCTGCATGAGACTTGTTCCACATCAGTATCCTGTCACAGAGAGGTTGAGGGGTCTTAGTCCCAACCACCCCAATAATAAATGAGAGGTTTATACAAAAACATGAAGATATGAAGAGAAGGAAAAGGTATTGTTGATAGATAGCATTAATCATTTCCAGAGGGCTGGAGAGATGGCTCAGAGGTTAAGAGCACCGACTGCTCTTCCAGAGGTCCTGAGTTCAATTCCCAGCAACCACATGGTGGCTCACAACCATCTGTAATGAGATCTGGTGCCCTCTTCTGATGTGCAGATATACATGGAAGCAGAATGTTGTATACATAATAAAATATTTAAAAAAAATCACTTCCAGAAATGTGACTGAAAGAAACACAGCAAGAAAAAAGTACATAAAATCTAACTGAGGGTTGAAGGGAGAAAATTTAGGGTCAGGAACTCGGTAGTTTTGATCAAGATACATCTGATTGTTAGCTAGTGATGTACTGGTTACTAAAAGCCAGATAGGGTAAACCGAGCAGTGCCCAAAGTTGTAACAGCTGCTTCAAGTGGATTGTGTAATTCTTTATAGTACAAACTGCTTCTCTAATTTTTATCTAGTGTCTTATAGTGGAGTTTTACCTAGCATAACCAAAGTTACAAAAGAGTAGATCAAACAGGTCTGTAATGGAAGGCTAGAAAAGGAACTCTTTGCCCAGCTAGAAAATTGGGGTGAGTATCATACCCTAAACTTACACCACACAATACTTCAAAGTAATTACTGCATCAAGCAGTTCTATACAAATTACAGCTAAAACATAGTTTACTAAGCTTGGACTAATTACAATAGATGTCAATAAGTACATAGCTGCCTGGGAGTAAGGAAGGGAGCAACACTAAATAAACTATATTCTGATATGATACAGAAGTGTATCCATTATTTAAGATAACTAAAACAGATTTCCTTCCTACCTTCTAAAAACATTTAATTTAGTGCTTATGTATGTGTGCCCACCACAGTATGTATGGAGGTCAGAGGTCAGTTTATGGGAGTCAGTTCTCTTCTTCCACTATGTTGGTACCAAGCATTGAACTCAGGTGGTCAGACTTGGTGGCAAGTGCCTTTATTCACTGAACAGTCTTGGTTACAACTCCTTTCTATTTTTCTAATGTTAGAAGAGCATTACGGCTTTTTTTTTTTTTTTTTTTTTTTTTTTTTTGTGTGTGTGTGTGTGTGTGTGTGTTTGCAGCAGCACTAGCAAAGAGGAAACATGCTACACTCTCTTGACAATATTCTCTTGTCACTCTCCTTCCTTGGAGAAACTGTGTGTTTACAGAATCTATTCATACACCTGTAAAAGCACTTGAGAAAATCTGTCTTTGTTCTACATCTTTCAGAATTTTACAATGATTCACCCTTTAGAGCATAAGATGATGTGCCAAACTTGATCTGAGCAACACAAACCAGGCTGAGATTCTCATCTTTGTCTCCCTTGCGGGTGGCATAACATTTATAATCAAGAGCCTATTAATTCTAGGAACCCTGTAAGACGATATTACAACCCTACAATAATTTTCCTGAATTGCTTCTGTAAAATACCTCCTTGACTACATACATATTTATTTTTTTATATTTTTATATATATTTATATATATATTTATATATCCTCTTCTCTGTAGCTAGATAGGGTTTTGTTTTGAGACATGATCTAAAATTTTATCTTATTAGATTTAATTTCAGTTGACATGGTGGTTCAGGTCTGTAATCCCAGCACTTGAAAGGCTGAGACAGTAAGATCACTGCAATTTCAAGGCCAACCTAGGAGATGTATGTATGTATGTATGTATGTATGTATGTATGTATGTATGTATGTATGTTCAGTCTGTGGTAGAGTATGAAAACAGTTTCAAAACAAACAGCAACAACAACAAAAACATCCAAAACACATCCTATTCTCCAAACCCAAACCAAACAAATTTCACTAAAGAGTTTTTATTGAAATTCTGAGACATGATTTTACTTCCTAAGCTGCCCTTGAACTTAAAACAATTCTCCTGCCTCATGTCCTGAGTGTTAGGATTACAGATGTACACTACCAAGCTATTAGAGTAAAAGAAAAGCTTTAAAGATCAGAATTAAAAAACAAAACAAAACAAACAGAATGCTAATAACTTCTTATGCCAGCTCCTTATTTATTTATTTATTTATTTATTTATTTATTTATTTATTTATTTATTTATTTGATGGGTCTCATCCAGTAGCCCAGGCTGGCTAGGAACTTTGTATGTAGTTCAGGTGATTCTCCTGTTTCAATATTCTTAGTGCTGAAAATACTGGCACAGGTTGCCAGACTTGGGTATCAGTTACTTTTAAGAAGGTTCATCAAAGGGGCTGAAGACAAAGGCCGGCAGTTAAAAGCACTGGCTGATCTTCCAGGGGACTTAGGGTCATTAAGCATCTGTGGCTCCAGTCCCAGAGGACCCAAGCCCTCTTCTGGCCTCTGTAGGCATTGTACACATGTACTGCACTTTCATAGACACATAAAGACAAAGCACCTATACACACAAAATAATAAAAATAAAATGTGAAAAGGCTCATCATTCTCATAGGAATGAAGTCAGATACCTCCTTCTAGCTTGCTATCTTCAGGGATACAATCATCCATCCAGTTTTGACACCAATTAAATTTTGCTGCTTGTGTTTCATTTAAGAATACCATGAGGCCGGGTGGTGGTGGCGCATGCCTTTAATCCCAGCACTTGGGAGGCAGAGGCAGGCAGATCTCTGTGAGTTCCAGGCCAGCCTGGTCTCCAGAGCGAGTGCCAGGATAGGCTCCAAAGCTACACAGAGAAACCCTGTCTCAAAAAACCAAAAAAAGAATACCATGAAAGACGCTAATTAAATATTTTCCAGAAATTAAAATACTAAAAATCACTTGGCTGACAAACCAGTTTAATCAATTAGTTTATTTGGGAAAGTCCCTAGTGGTTCATTTAAGTTTGTTAGTTTCTTGTATTTTCTAGCTATT